CGGACCTTTTCCAATTTCTCAACAAGATCCACAAAAAAGGTCTAATGAAATTAAAATGTTTTAAAAGGTTTTTGCAACTGAATAATAATGGGAGCGCGGTTGTCATTCGGAGCAGTGTTGTAGACAGTTCACTTGGCCCCGGGGAGGATTTCTGAATTAAAACACCCCGACTGTATAATGGTTAAGGGTTGCGAGTTTTATTTTGTTTTTGTGTAATTTCTTCTCCTGTCAGTTACTTAGTCATTGGAGTGTAAATAATAATCATTTAAATCGAATACAATATTTCATATCAAATAGATTTTTATCGTATTGTTTGTAAGGGTTTCAAGTATCTTACGAAAAATGTGATCTACTCTAAGTAAGGGGTTGGGAGTTAATTTTTTTTTGCACAAAAATTATAACGTAGGTAAAATATATTCATGTTCTGTACTATTCAGTAGGCATAGGAGTCAACCTGGTAATTGGATGTGAAAATAATTTGAAGATTTTGAAGCTATCCTCCTACATAATTTATGGGTTCGTTATTTAAGCGAAGGTATAATGAAAGGGTAACTGTTTTCCTTTTTTGCTGTTTTCTTTGATTAAATGCCAACGACTAAAAGTTGTTTTAAAATACTGGCTTTAAAAGGAATGGGCTACAGTACTTTTTTTTAATTGTATTAAGTTTCGTTCACGTATGTACATATAACTATTTATTATTTTGTTTATGAAGTATAGAATCGTTACCGTCTTTTAGATGTTTAATTCAAAATAATTTTATTGGATAGTAAAGTATATTACAACTATGTTATATATCACACTATTTGATCTTTGTAAATTTACATACATTTAGGGTAAATTTATCCAATTATGCAGCGCACGTAAATTCAGCTTTGATTATATTTATAATCCTTGAGGTTACAGTTTGAAAAAAGCAAAGCAAAAACAATTGCATCACAATAATAGTATAGTTGCAATAAAATCTTAACACAATAATATAAGGTTAGATATTTTTATACTAGCTTTCGCTCGCGACTCCGTTCGCGTGGAATTAAAAAAAAGTGAGTAGCCTATGTGTCGTTCCAGACTATCCTCTACATCTATACCAAAATTCAGCGAAATCTGTTAAGCAGTTTAGGCTACAAACTCTAACAAACATCCATCCATCCATCTTAACTTTTGCATTTATAATATTAGCATGAAGTATGATTATTAAAGACAATTAAAGAAATGAGTTCAGATGTATCAAATCGTAAATATTTACTCAATCTGTAAGTACTTGTATTTATGAAATTCGATTCATTCTACAGGCCTATTTTGATAGCCACGGAACGGCACACCGAACCTTCGTAATTTTAGAAATTCATCGAATCTGGAAATATTCCATCGAACAGGGAAAATTGAACAAACCTACAAAAAGTACCGAGAAAGATAAACCAATATGTCAATTAAAATTGCAGATGAAATTAAAATTTAATTAACGTATAATTATGAATGTAATTTTTTGTTACCTTTTGACAGCGGTTGTTTAGTAGTTTTTACATCGACTTCAAATATGTTTGTGTCCAGAAAAATATCTATAACAGGTTAACTTCTTGAGAGGTCTTATGTAGTGTTCATAGAGTGTTGAAATTCATAGTTTTAGAATCGAACAATAACGTATTATACGATTTGCAGAGGTTAACAAGTGCCTGGTTCGTTGTATGGATCTCTTCGTATTAAACTTTTGAAGTTGTTTGGGTCATAAATTTGCTACGCTTTTTCTGTATAAATCAATTCTCCCGTAAGGGATATAATTTCCGAGGGTATAGAGGAAATTTCGATAAATCTTATTTTTGAAGCTTAAATAGATGAAGTTATCTACGTCGTTACGCTTTTCGGTCGTTTTAAAATTAATTATCTAACTTCGGTTTAGCAAATCTAATAATTCATTGCTTGGATGTCTCATCGGTTCGCAATGACTGATTACACGGTTACATCGGGAGCTTTGAGTAATAGTTTTAAAAGACCTTTGTTGAAAATATCTGATGAAGTATAAAAACACTGAGATAAAATGTATGATGGATGGATGGATGTTTGTTAGAGTTTGTAGCCTAAACTGCTGAATGGATCTCAATGAAATTTGGCATAGATATAGAGCATAGTCTGGAATAATACATGGGCTACTTACTTTTGTTTTTTTTTTTTAATTTTTATTTAATTCCACGCTTACGGAGTCGTGGGTGAAAGCTAGTGGTTGTTATAAATAGATTTGGCATTTCTTTCGTCTTAGGATTAGCATCGTCAGTATTTATTTATGGCTAAAATTAGAAAATATTAGAGCATAAATCACCATATAATGTGGGCGTGGGGAGATAAATGAATGAAAGGGGTGTTTACAAAACACATTAAAAGCTGTTAGTTGACACGTTGAACACCTGCTGTGTATAGGATTACGTGTGTCAGGGAAAACCTTTCTGCTTATCTTGCTTTATAACATATAATATGTACTGCAAATAAAAAAGTAAAATTAATTTTAAAATAATTTATGTAAAAAGAGAGTTTTTAAAAGTTATTTAAAATATGACTCTATTTTGGGCATCAAAGAATTCTTGGATCAAATTACCTCGAGATAAATAATTTGTTTCTTTTTTATTTATTTCTGAATATTTTAATGGTAGAATCTTATAAAAGGTTATTTACATTTAAATGATGATAAAAACCTTAAACATTAACTATTACAGATTTTAGTTAAGAATGATTTTATTGAAGTAACGGTCCTATTATAACCACAAGAATGTAACATATGTATAGAGGATCAATATTAATATTTTATATGAGGAAGGTTTCATAAATAGCGAAGTAGCGTCGAGAGATTAGCGTTCCGAATTAATAAATTACAAATGGCGAAACCACTGTCCGAACTCCGCCAAGTTTCCCAATTCCTAATCGTTCTAAATTGCCTTTACTAATTCCTAAATATAATAGGAAACCTTTTAACAAGGATTAATTTACTCATGAATTAATTCACTAACAAGTATGTTGTATAAATATCTGAACAGTTTTATAGTTTTGCAACAAAGTCTAGCTGTGAAGTACCTAGGTGTTATAGACGGTCGGTAATATTTTATTCTTTTAGTAGCTTTCACTCGCGATTCCGTCCACGCGGAATTAAAAAAAAAAACCAAGTAGCCTATATGTTCTTCCAGGCTATGTTCTACATATATGCTACATTTCAATGCGATTAGTCTAGGAGTTTAGTCTACAAACAAAAATCCATCCATCCATCTAAACTTTTGCATTTATAATTTTAGCATGATTTATATTTAAATAAGTGAATTTTAAGCTAAAAATATCGTCTTTCAGCTAAATTGTAGACATGCGTTAGTTAATGTATGCAATCTTCTATATAAAATGTATAAATAATCGTAAAAATAGTATAATTTATGTTAGCGGTATGGCGAGGTCTCATTAGTAGAGACGACACGGGCCGTCGCTCCTATGACAGATTGTGTGTTGCCAGAAAACCAATTAAACTTGTCCACAACAGTAGCCGGTACAAATTCGGCAAGATTAATTGGTGACTAAACATTTGTTGTAGAAACTCGACGCGTGTTAGTTGCTTGTTTCGCGCGATAGACGCGAAAGTTTGTTTACTATAATTGGGTCATCCTGTCCACTAAACACACTTTACATGTAACTAAAAGGAGTTTAGAATAATGCAATTTTCTGTTATAATTTGAGTTTGCTTTCGGTTTTTGGAAATCGCTTTATTGACGTCTAAGAATATTGAGAGAATCCTATACAAGTTAATTTGGTAAATCATAAACAAAATGAGACTTTTAAACATTGTACTCAACACAATCATTAAGGTATATGTTGTGACTTTAATTTGACATTGTCCTTAGACTAATCAATGAGAGAACAGGTACGCGGAATGACAACGATATGAACAACGGAAAAAATATTTACTTTTTATTAGTAAATTAGGAGCGTAAATGAAAAAGTATACTAGTATAGTATAATCTGTGATCAAAAATAACAAAAAAAAGTGTGATTCCAAGACTAACATCGTTTTCTATAACTGTTGTACAATTAACAAATGTTCTTTATTTTCTAAAAAAAATATGCTGAATCTTAATATCGATATTGAGAAACACCGTAACGACTATTCGTTCCCTTAGTTTGCGCACTGTTAACCCCAATAAGAATATTTTAGTACGATGTTCACTTCTCAGCCCATAATTTCAGTTATAGTGTTAATTTATGATACAAAAAGTTGAGCGAGGCAAACTGCTCGCCGGCTGCGACTCCACAACCACAAACACTGCTGGTAGCAGCACGGTACAACTTACAACAAAACATATAAAACTGTTTTTATTACCCTTTTGTTTTTTCTTATTCCATTTTATCGTTGTTACGAGATTTCTCATAACATCACTGGCAAATAAGAATCGTGATAATTGTAGAAAATACTAGTTTATATTTGTATTGAAATTAAAAATATTGTTTGCTTTTAATTATTCAGTAGAGTTCAGTTAACATCCGCTACATTTGAAGCAGGCCACGCCACTTGCATACAACTTGTTTCGCTACTGACTTCGACTCAAACATTACACATAATAACTGTAACTTCCATATTATACTCAGTTACATTTTTTTTCCGTAATAATATTAACTCACTAACCGTAATTTTATTAGTACAATTGTAGTTGAACCTTGTTTATAATCGTATTACTGCGCCATTGAGGGTAATGAAATGGACATATAAGTAACACTTTAGCGTTGATTTCTTAAACTAGGGATCGCCCCCGGTGACCATGCGAGTTTGAGTGCAACAGTGAATAATTGTAGTTGGTCTTAAATAAATACATTTTTAAGATTGTATATTAGGTAATAAATTAAGAGATGCAGTTTCCTCGGGCGTATCGAATACGGGGAATATTAACCGCCAATAAATTACGGCGTAAAGCCGTGCTATCATCACATACCAAGCAGATTAACACCTTCGAGAACATAATATTGACTTCTACGAATTACACATGAGGAATTCAAATAATTTCGCGAGTATCAATCAATGTAACAGATATGTTAATGTTTTTACTGTTTCCAAAACACCTTAATATCTCCTTTTTTGATACAATGAGAGTAACGACAAAAAAATCTCGTGGGAATAAATCGTTGAGCTGCATAAAATTATATACATTTTGTTATTCGACGCTGCTATAAAGAACCTTGTCCTTATTAAAGGTTAGTTAATGTAGAGATTAAGTTATTTAACGTGTGAATTTTGTTGACAGGTTCGCGTGATCACGGCGTGATGGAGACGCGTCGGTGAGGGCGCACGGCGGGCGCTGCGCACCGCCTGCGCCCGCCCATGGCCTCCCTCTCAATAACTAGGTACAGAAATTATGTAATTTTCTTTTTTGTTCTAGAGTTCTAGAGTTTGCAAAGTATTAAGAAGTGATCTTCTGTTAAAATTACCATGGCCTGATGATTTGTTCTAGTCAAATATTTTAAAATAAACATTGTCAAAACGAACGGCCCTTTGCTGTCAGCATCTATTATTCTGCTATTTTTCGATGGTCATAGACTACAATATTTTTTTGTTTCAATAATACCCTTAGCCTCGCTTTTTTAATAAGGTATCGCCTGCTTTTTGTTCTATTTAAAAATACATATTAAATTATCAAATATATAACAAAGGTGTAACGGTGTAGGTTTTTGGTGCGGTCGTTGGTGGTGTTGGTGGCATGGAGCATAGTAGGAGCCGCAGTGGCCCGCGCTCAGCTGCTAACTTCAGCGCTGGTGCCCGCCTGCCCCACGCAGTGTATCTGTTTATCACAATCTCAGGTACCATTCAAATTCAATTCATCCTCAACTCAACTCATCTCACTTCTGGTGTTACGGATGTCAATTCGTTGACCACAGCTATATTTCCACCACTCGTTTGCACGTTTTCAAATTTCAAAAAATATTTAGTTCATCGCTCATAACCACCCGTTATATTATGCAGTCTATGCCTGATACAGATAAAGATGAAATGTTTTGATAACAATTCTGCAGAATTATACTATGTGAACGATCCTTGTCAAAATCGTTTTATTATCTGCAAATAATAATTTTACCGGAAAATACCAATAAGGAAAAAGAAAGGAATAACCTACGATGTTATACAATATACGTTTATTTTATTGACTTTTACGCTATAAAAATAATTTCTAATTACTCTATTTCATTTTCGCAAGAAGTAACATCCGTATTAATAATGTTATTTAGAGGTGCTGTTACAGCGTCCGCTTCCTTGGCTCTTTGCCAAAGAAACAATGATAAGGATGAAAATAGGAACGAAACCTCGGCAAAGTATACAAACGTTTTAGAAAATATCCAAATTACAGCTTTAAACTGATACTGCTATAGCTTAGTTGCACTATCGTAAAAGCCTATACTATGCCTGGTTTCTCAAAATAGCCCAAAAGCAGTAAGCAATAAGTCTATAAATTTGCAAAGAATTAACCTTACAAGTGATTAGGTCGATTAATCAGATAAAACGATTCATCTACTAATTCGAAATTATCACACTGATGATATCTTTAAAACCAAATCCTTGGACTAGCTCCTTTATTAATGCTTCTTGAATAACAATGTTTTTTGACAATGGCCTTTATTTTGCAGGTGGTATGTAACAGCGCGACGCTGCGCGGAGTGCCAGCGGCACTAAGCGCGAGCGTAATGCAGTTATCATTGTCGCGCGCCGATCTGCGCGTGTTGCGCTCTGACGCATTCGCGCACCTACGCCAATTGCGCCGCCTCTCCCTCGACGCCTGCAACCTCACCAGGATCAAGCCGTTCGCCTTTCGCGGCCTGCCACGACTCAACGAGCTCTTCATACAACATAGCCCGCTTACCACGGTCGACGCGTTCGCCTTCGCCGCTCTGCAGAACATCAGCTCGATAGTTCTAACCCACAACAAGATAGCGCAAATCGAGGGCTACGCTTTCGCCGGGACGAATTTTATAAAACTAATATCCCTTCGTAATAACCCTATCAAAAGAATCCTCGCTCATGCATTCTCTGGTTTGAACGATGTTAATCAAATAGAATTACCCTCCGGAATCAGATCTATCGAGCCACAAGCCTTCGCTGGCCTCGAAGGAGTGGGTGTCTTGGAGTTGGCATACATGGATCTACCGGCGCTCGTTCAAGATACTTTTTTCGGCATGACGCGCATCGGGCGCCTCGCTTTAAGGGAATCCGACCTGGGAGTTATACGTGCTGGCGCCTTTGACGGTCTCCGTATCGTAGATACTTTGGAGATGTGTAATAACAAAATCGATGGTATAGAAGAACTGTCGTTAATACAGAACAATAGTGTCCATACGTTTAAGCTAACCGGTAATCATATGCTAGAGTCACCGGAAGCGGTCGTGTTGGAAGTAGATATTGTTGTAATACGCGGTAATCATTTGCCTTGCGAGTGCGGTCGGGATCCTATGGCCAATCCTTTGGCTCTGTCGCAGGAGTTTGCCGACGAGAATTTTTGTATATCGCCTTTAAAAGTCCGTGGGAGGAGTTTGTCAAGCGCGGCGGGTGCGGCGTGCCGGGGCGAGGGCGGCGGGAGCGCGCGCGCGCGGGCTGCTGCGGGCGCTGGCCACGCGCCGCGCTCCGTGCACCCGCTGCTGCCGCGCCTAGCCCTCACGGTCGCCGCCATCGCTTTCTTATCCAACAGCTAACCGCCCTCGGTGTTCAATTATATACGTGTTATATGTGTCTGTAAATATTGTAACATAAGTGAATATAGAGATGCGAAATTTTACATTGAATGGGTCCGTTCATTCAGTATACGTTGGACCATGATTAAAACTTGCCTTTGGAAAACTTTGTGTTTCATTTGTGAGTGTATTCAAAACTGCGAAGAAACATTTGCTTTGGTACCTGTAGCTGGTTTTATGGAATAAAAGAAAAAAAGTAGCAATTTAAATGTAGCACAGTTTTCCGGTGCAATATAATGAGCGGTGATATTTTTCATGCTAAAGAATGCCCGCATTACATAGGCCTATGAGAAAAAAATTATAGTTTTCTTATTCATACAAATACCTAGGGAGGACATTGATACAAGACCTTGTTAGGTTAGGTTAGTTAACAACTAATTACATTAATTTCCCTGGGAGAGAAAGGAAAGCGTTCTTCAGGTTTGTGGTAAGTATTTATAATTGTTCTACTTTGGAGGTACAATTTATTCTTTCACCGTGAACACTTCATGTACATTTTCGTGCAGCACTGTATCGTTTTAAGTGTGACAAGCGGTGACCCGATTTCTGCAAAGCGGAGTTGTTTAAAATTAAATTTAAAATATACACCACAAATATGACGAGTTAAGGTTACACAGTAGAAAGTGATACTTATACTATAATATACTAGCATATTGTACTCAAAATGCTTTTTGCAAACTATTTTTTTATTCCATTCAGTGGAAAGATCTATTGAATACTAAAACATTAATTAAAACGTAAATACACAAAAAATGATACTTTGATTCTCTGAACCGATCTCTTGATAATTAGAAGGAACTCGACACTTTTGTAACTAGAAGAAACCCAGACTAATTAGACTGAGAGAAAACAGAACCATTTAAAAAAATCTTTTCAGTATAAGATTTCATACAACTTTGAGATTTTAGTTTAACAAAAAAAATAGATGCTCAAACGACCTCATTTAATGTAAGATCTTATATTTTATTATTGTTTTTAAACGAAATGATAAAAGTATATGATGATAAAGGTAAAGGTAAGTAACTATGATTTTAATATAGTAAAGTAACTTACCTGCTTATTCTTGCGTTATTTGATAATTTAAACAGTGTGAAAGTTTTTATTAAAGTATATTTTATAAGGAGTTTAAAATTTAGGTCAAATATGGTATTTTAAACAAATGTACCGTGAATTTCCAAGCGGCGAAGCGTGCTGCAATTATTTAAAACGACGTTTTGTACTGCTGTACATGATGTCTGCATGCCATTATTTATACGTCAGTTTTTATGACAGTCATTTTAACGTACGCGGCATTTTATAACCAGATCTGGAGATGGAATTCCTTGAAAAATCCCGTTTAGTGGTTATAATAAATTCTCTAAGCCGTCGTATTACGGCCGATAGCGATAACATTGTTAACATCACATTTTATTTACTACTACAAGTTTTCAACGAAGAGCTTTCTCCTTTATATTACCTGATTGAAAGTATCGAATTCGTTCTTTAATTAAATTAATAGACGTATTGTATTTCAATTTAATTTAGTTCTTAGTTGTTGGTGCTCAAGTTTGAATCAATCCAATCAATATGTGACGTGGCGCGTATGTGAATTAATATGGATATTCGAAAAGGATTAATTTTGTTGACAAAACAATCAGACTGAACGGTTTTAATACCACTCCAACTGTTTTCAGGGACAACGGATCGCTTGATAATTTATTGAATTTACTATATTGCTATTTATATTGTCTTTTAATTGATTTACTCGATAATGATTATTAAATTGTTTTATGTTAATTATAGTATATTTTTTAATTCAATTCGTAATAATTATAACTTAAAATAGTAAAATGATCCCATGTTTTTAAATAATCGGATAACGGAGAATACATAATGTACAATTGAGATTAAAAAAATCATTTTAGTTTGCCAAAAATGTAAGTAATTCCGATCTTGTCATCGTGTAATGCCATCATGAATTTGGTACGAGACTAGTAAAAGAATAAAACGATCTCGTTTATTGTACAACTGTTAATTACACCGGCGAATTACACTGTACCAACAAAAAAAGTATAAACCCAATTCCTAAACTAGGGTTCTACCGTAAACATTTTAAGTAAAGCTATATTACAAGTAATATATCATTAGTCGGTGTTCAAGTTTACAGCCGGCTCAGGGCCGAAGCCAATTCCTGTTTGCACGTGTTGAAACAATCCGGCACGAACTGCTCATTAGGCGATATCGATCTCCGCTAAACGCCCGACTAGGCGAAGAACTCGTGTACTAAGTAACAACCAATTATAACAGCCTCTTATCAAACAAATACTGGGAACAGTCAGTTAATAAATATGTTAACAAGCTATCGAGCTCGAATCCTTTAGGATTGAAACAAACATCACTGAATAGTAATAATATTATGTGGGAAGGAAGCAAGGCTTTAATATTACAATAAGACAAAGACGAAGCGATAAAAATTTCTGACGATATCTTAAAATATTCATTAGACTTTTAGAAAATTTCTTTTAATGGCGGTTAATTTAAGTATTTCGTACATGTTTTTATCAAATAAATCATTTCGTTTGATATTGAGTTCAAAATAAAAATATGAAACGTACAAACACTTTTCTTTCAAATTTCCTTTGAGATATCCTCTTAGTGTCAAGAGGTGTGGGTTTTGCGCAGCCTTGTGAGGCGAATATCTAACCTTTCACTGAAGTTGAATCATTTTCTTTGAGGTCAACAATTGAAAAGAGAATAATACAAACAAACAACTAGCTAGATATAAACATTACTGGATAGAAATAACAACAATATTAATACAAAACAGAGTGTACACTAAGTTTGAACTCTTACTAAAATTAGGATTTTCCATATTCTTGTGTTTAAGATGTATTCAGTAAAATTTTATTATCTGTATTAAATCTGAATGATACAAATCTCTTTATTCCAATGTTGATACCGTTTTAAATCTTCAGTAGAATATTATTTTCGTAAGCTAACAAAAGAATTGAAGACGACTTTTTGCTTGTAAAGGTACTAAAGACGGGACTTGTGAAATAGATTTAAAAACGAAAATAAACGACAATAAATGAACCGTGTAATTGATAGGTACATTTTCCAGGCAATAGATATTTTGTTTGCATTATTGTCAAAATAATAGTTATTATTTATGATTTGACACTTAACAATTTGGCTTTTCGATTTGGTTACAAAAATAGTTTAACATGAATGATAATAAAATAACTAAAAACACTACTTATTGACCAAAAAATTACAAACCATAATAATCAAATGAAAAAAAGACTCTTGTCCAAAAGGAGAAGGCTCAGCTGATGCGGTCTCCAGCTTGTCACTGAAGGCCGCGTTGGTTTTCAGATAGTTTACACGATGCCGTTAACACAACTTTTTTTTTTGGAAATCTTCATCATGATCTGTGGCACCACAGCTTCAGGTTGGCCTGTGCTTGGTAAATGTCTTGATATTTGGGCCTTTTTAAAGGGATAATTTATTTGCAATAGAAATAAAAACTGAATTTATATCAGTGCTTTACTTCAAGACGGGTCCTGTGCTAAGTTACTATAATTCATAAATGTCTTACGTACTAGAAATTTCTTTGAGAATTGAGGTTAACGTATTCCAAAGCGTGTATGAAATATGACTAAATCTGCGATATCTAAGAGATTTTTAAGAATAACGGTGGTTTTATATTTGTCCCAGTAAATAGAATTACGTCCCGGAAAAATTGAAAGGTTTGAATATTTATTCTCAAAGAATTAAGCCTTATTATAGCGAAAATTCATGTTCATGTCTATGTGCCTAAGAAAACAAAGAGCCGGTGGCTGATGTTAATCATGTATTAGTTAGTTCTACTCGTAGTTTATAGAAACTTAACTGCTCCGAAGAAGGAGAATTGAGATCAACAAAATATAGCAATATTGAATACCTCATACTGTAAATGCATACAATGGTAGACATCAGAAGTAGGTTACGAGTACGTCTAAAATGTTGAATTTTTATTCGTAGCAGATGATCCGCCATTTCATTGTATTGTACAATAGGTTTCATCGTTTTATAGTATTGTAAGTTGAGCATCATTTTTTATCGATTGAGCCTAATCAATATGTTTGAAGACTCGCGTGTTTCACGATATTTGTGTCATTGAATTTAAAATTCGAGTGTTTAAATAAATGATGGTACATCGTCAACTGTTCGAATAGGCCAATATTTTTTTCTTTTAGGTTAAACGTTTACAGAAATGGAATATAGACGTATTTACATAATAAAATGCCTTAAAATGAATAGTTTATAAAATTGAAAACTTTCGCACATAGTCTCAGTCTGGTTATAAAAGATGTCGAAAAGATTTATTGGTCCGTGATCAAAGTCATACAAACCTTTTAAGCTGGATTGGAGCTGAATAACGGAAAGAAAATACGATTTTCTCGATAAACCGTATACTTACATTGATAAATATAAATTTGTTTCCCACTTGGATTCAATTATCCTACATCAAACTGTCACCATGAGAGCTACCATTTAGTATGAAAGTGTCTCCATGACTAGTTTTTGATCTTATTGCAATGTTGGCTTTAAATATGTCATCAAGTGGGTAGGAAATTATTGTCCTCGACTGTACATATTCGAGTATATACGTTTTATTATTAAGTTGTGTTAATGGGAGTGGTTCTTAGAGTATACGGGCATTCACAAATTACCGCCCGATCAATATCTCACTAATGAGTATTGCTTCCGTGCGTGCAGTTTAATAACACGTAAATTGTGCTTAACTCAGATAATCTTAATACAAACATAACGTTAGTACAATCTTAATGTGATCGTTGTCATATATATATATATATATATA